GGTGGCTGGCTTGTGCCTCGTTCGAGGGGAGCTGCTCTACCTGGCCGGAGAGTGTGTGACACGCGGGTCGGCCTCCGCCTCCTCATCCCGTGCCACGGGGAGGGGGGGGGGTGTCCCCGCGTCACTCTCGCAGCCCAGCTGGGGATTCCAGTAGCGGGAGATTGTTTGGGTTTTTATGTGGAACCTTCTCTGGCCCCCACCTCCTGACCTGGACAAGCGGGGGACGGTTCATTCATACTTTTTATTAAGGAAGGATTGGCGGGGGCTGCTGATGTCAGTCTTGCAGGCAGCGGTCGTCTATCGGATTTTCTGTTTGTATACGAGTGTACTCCCTTGACCCTGTTATATGGTATGAAACACACGTCAGTGCTGTGTTGCATGTCGCTTTGTTTTTCTTCTGTCCCCCCCCCCCACCCAAAAAGGGTGTCCCCATCTACACAAGGGATTCCCCCAGAGCTGGGCTGCTGCTTCCCCGTGGAGGGTGCTGTGTGTGGCATGTTTGGGTTTTGCGATCGCTGCGGTTTGAGCCGGGTCCCTAGGGCGGGTCTGCGCTGATCGGTACGCACCCTGCCCCGCCCTTTAGCCGGGTCAGGAGCGAGCCAGGAAAATCCCCTTTTTTTATTGTGACAGAGCTCGCGTCCTGACTGCGCGCTATAAATCCACAGCGCCTCCAGGTGACAGCAAACTGTACTGCAGCCTCACGCTCCTGACTGTTCAGCCCCTCGCCTCTCTCGCCCCTTCTCTGGAACACTGCTGCTGCCTTTGAAATTCCCCCCTACCCGAGCGGAGATGGGGAGGCCAGGCGCTGAGGGCAGCCTCGATACACCTTACAGAAGGGGGGCTTACTTTTGGGTGGGGACCCCCTGCAGTCTGACACGCTTCCCATGGAAGAAAGACCTCCAGGAGTGAAGCATGACCCACAGAAATGGCAGCTCGGAGCTGGCAGTGGTTAGTGAAGTCAGCGCAGGGAGATGCTGAGATGAGGCCGGTGCCTCACAGGCGGTCTCCGCAGGACATTGGTTTAGCTGATAAATAGGTAACGCTTAAACCTCCCCCCCGAGGACCTGAATACAAGTTGCGGCACGATCTCTGGATGCGTACTCCCTCGTCCGAGGCACAGGCACCATTTTGTAGCTTTTAATTGTGCCCGGTTTAAATAAATAAATCTCAGCAGGCCGGGAAGGCTCTCATTCAGAATTAATGGGATGTGCATCATGGGCGGGACTCTTAGCCAATGAGGTGCCTGATTCTCCCCGCTAGTTAAATTCATATGGTTACACTGAGGGAGATGAGCACTCCTGGCCAAAAGGGGGAGCAGTGGTGTGAGGTGTGTGTGTGTATGAGAGAGACCCGCATGGGTATTTGGAGAGCTGGAGATCTTGAAAATCCATCCATCTTCTGCTTATCCTGGATGGTATCCCCTTGACGGGTCGAGTCTCGCATGTGGGCACGACGTGTCCTTCCCAGTCGGCACCCGGCGCGGCTCCCTGTGTGCTGTGTGGGGCTCTCTCTCTCCTGGAGATCTCATGGGGCTTAAGGGCTTAGCGAGGATCAGGGTAAATTCAGATTACCGATGCCCCTGGCATCTCCACCCTCGAGCATAGCGCGCCCTGCCAGTTCGGACCGGCCCTGACTGACTCGGCGCGGGTGATGGCACGAGCGTCGCTGCCAGTCACGCTTCCTACTGGTCGGTCTCCATTCTCGCCATCATAGAGTCAGGTGGCATATTGCTGTGTTTCACATCCCTGCTTTTCTCTATCCTTGTGCCTGTCCCTGTGTCCTTTTACGTCACGAATGTGGGAATGAGCTTCGCTGACACCGTCACCTCTCCAGTTGTCCCCGTGTTGTTGTCTTCCTGCCATTGTAACTACAGTGGGTTTTACCCCGCGTTTCATTTGTCACATGCAAAGCTTAGGTGTCCTTTTTTTATGGCCCTTCGGTACTTAAAGAAATTCTGCAGCCCAGCATTAGTAAAGAAGTTCTACTACCTATATGCATTACAGATTGCAGGATCCTCTGTTGAAGGTTAGCTGAGCGGTGTCCTTGTGTCCTGTTTGGGGGTAGATGGGTAGGTTCTGGCCCCGCTGCCGCCTCGGTCCCCGCTGCCGCCTCGGTCCCCGCTGCCGCCTCGGTCCCCGCTGCCGCCTCGGCCCCCGCTGCCGCCTCGGCCCCCCGCCTTTTGTGAAACGGGCAGAGGCCGGTGGAGCCGTTTGTACAAAGGCTCAGGGAGGTGCCCTAGTTGAATTTCAATTTCTATTGGGGTCTTCTCAGGTGCTAAAGTATCCTTTTTTGGCACTGATACTCCCTACACATGTGCTTTTTTTGCAGACACCCCCTGTGTGTCTCTGCACACACCCCTGAAATGGATCCTCCCTTTTATTCCCCTGGAGGGGTTGATGGACTCACTCTATAGCTTAGATGTATTGCTGGTTCGGCCCAAAACTGAGGCCCGATCGATTCGATGTGGCCGAGCCGGTGTTACCTGTACAGCAATCCCAGACGGTTGGGGTTAGTATTGTCACTCTTGTGTGAATCCATAGATGCTTCTAGAAAACATGTGTCATGGCTGCAGTATGAGAATGTCAACATGCCGAAGGGTGTCGCTAATCCTGGGCGGGCGGGTTTGGTCCCAGATTACCTGTCACTGACAGAATCGTTGCTTGTGGCTTGGCGTTCAACCACTCGAAGAACCGGGTTTCTCTCAAGACTCAGTCAGACAAAACGGGACGCAGGCAGGGCCCTGATTGCTGCGATCTTTTTTGCGTTTAAAGTGTCAGGTTCAGCGCTTTGTAACGAATCAGGCCTTCAGCTCAGCAGGCCTCTGCTGCGCGGGATGTGGGAGGCTCTTCCAGAGGCCTACTGCTTCGTACTGCTTTGTCTGATTGGCTTTTAATTGCACCTCCAGGCTCCGGTGCCAGATTCGAATCGGTCAAAAATTTTCGGATTTTATCCTGCGCTGCCCCCGGAGCTTAACGCATCCCGCCAGCACGAGTCTCCCCGCTGTACGGTGCGTCTGTCTTCCCAAAGGCCCCTCAGATGGCCTTCCAGGTGATGTCACTGTGGAATCTCGTGGTGTGCTGCTGTGTTGGTGAAAATGAGGCAGGATAGTTTGTAAGTGTGTAACACTGGTTATGCAGACACACACACACACAAACACAGAACCAGCTTGATTTTTTACACACTTCCGACACACATTGATGGAGTCTGAGTGCGTCTGTGTGCTTCTGGTATCATACGCTGGTCCAGGGCCGTAAGACCCAAGCCAAGGTCACCTGGCCACTGAGACTCACACCCTAGTCCTACTGGTGCTAATGACCATAGTGGTCAACACACAAAGAGCTTAAGGGGTCGTTGTCGAAAACGAGCGGCCTGAATATTGCTTATTTATTCCCGGATGCCGTCCGACCCGTCTGATGTCCGCTGGGGTGGGGGCCGGCGACCTCGCCCAACGCAGCTACGCCAAAATGCCCAGTGTGACAGTGAGCATAGAGCATGCAGTGATCTGATTTGGTAGTCCGACGCCGATTACAGTTACTCACTTAGCGCACTATACTGAGTCTGTGTGCAGGGAGGGAGGTCAGGCCTTACAGAATGAAGCATGACATGACGTTTTTTAGCGTGATAGGAGAGTGGAGGCTCTTGCTGAATTTTAGGGAAAACATTGCGTATGAATGGCCCGTAGGAAGCAGGGTGGGGGAGGCGGAATGCCCCAGGGTGACTGGTGGGGGGGGATTACAGGCTTTGTCCTTAAGGGTGGTGGAACTAGGGAAATAATGGAGGCAATGTCACATCGTTTGAGGGATTGAGGGTTTGGGTTATTCAAATAAGGGTGTTACCATACAGTGTTTGCAATCAGTGCATCTCCTGCCAGGAATTATGACAGCGGGGGGGGGGGACTCTACTGATACTCACCTCGCAAAAGGTGTTGCGTTGTCTGAGGTGGAGCCGTGTTTTTTGTGGGTTGATTTATATATATATATATATATATATATATATATATATATATATATTTGTTCCGAAATGTTCTGCCTGGCAAGTTCCTGTGTGTGAAATTGTTTACATGGAAATTTAGTGTTGCTGTAACTACTGTATAACAAGCGTGACCAGACGGCGCCGCGTGTGGAGGGACCGGCTGATTAGGGGATTAAAGCGGCAGCCGCAGACGCTTCTTCCTCAGGTGGTGAACCGATGCGTCTGACGTGGGGTAGAGACTGCGGATGAGTGTGTGGCGTGCCCCCCCCCCCCCCCCATATCGGCACTAAAATGAGTTTAGCAGTTAGCATCCCCAGTAACACCCACCGTCGCTCACGGTGACACAACTCTAAGGTGCTAGCAGTCCCATGTCCTGATAACAGCGTCCTGGGAGCCGGTCCGGTGAAGAAGGGGCACGCACGTGCCAGCCCCGCCCCTTTGCTTGCTGAGTGTCCTGATTGGCTGGGGAACAGCCGGGGCCTTCCCAGTGTCTCAAAGAGGCTTAACCAAACAAACGATCATTTGCTCGCACGCGCGCACACACATACACACACACACATACACACTGGGCACAATAGCTGGGTCGTCTTCACAAATAATAGGGATTATCATTTCAAAGCTCCCGTCTATTGGCTAGACGGCGCCCCCGTTGGACAGTGGTTAGAAGAACAGCAGAGCATGTTGCCTTCATCTCCTCACCTGGTCCAAACACTGACCACCATGGATGGGAGGGACATTGTTGTGGGGAGAGTGAGGCTAATGTTTCAGAGACAAACCTCACTGACGGTGCTGTAGGTGTTTCTGTAGATGCTGTTGACCATGTTTGAGGGATGGTTACCTTGTAGGTAATGTTATAATGACAGGTACCGATCACGAGAGTGAATATGACCTTGTGCTCCACTCAGTGTTAAAGCTGATTTTTACAGCACCGATTTTTTTTTATCTGTATTTTTTTTTTCCTCTCGATCTTTTGGGGATCACACAGGGAAAAGCTTGGTTAACGCTCACCGCCTTTCTCGACTTTACAGGAGCCGGAAGATCCAGATCCGGAACATTCCCCCTCACCTGCAGTGGGAGGTAGGTGTTTGAGCGGCTGTCGGGCTGAATGCTTGCGTGTTGGCTTCTGTGTGTCTTGTTAGCGGAGCGTGCTGCAAGTTACGCCCTGGAGTTTGGAAGTGTGTGCCTGCAGGATTCAGCCCATGACCATCCTGGGGGGGGGGGGGGGGGGGGGGGGGGGGGTACAAGAAGCAAAGAGCCTAACACTTAGCTCCTCCAGATGTGTAGCTTCTAGTCCTCATGCTGTGGCATAAGCTGAGGCTCGCTGGTCCACGAAGTGCTATTTAAATGGCTCAAAATGGAGTTTGCTGGGGGGGGGGCTACCAAGCAACCCTGGAGGTGATTGTGGCCCCCCTTCCCAGGATGCAGTTGTGGCATTGCTGGCAGAGCTTGCCGCCCGCACCGCGGCTCCTTTTCCCGGAAGGCTCACTGCTGCGCTAACTGCTCTTTTGTTATCGTTGTTGTTGTTATTTTTCAGAACACAAGGTTAAGAGTTTTGTAGTAACCGGAGCTCTTAATAGATGTAAACACGCTCTCGAGACTTTTAAACGCCAGGGTGGGGTGGGGGGGGGTAGTCAGCTTATCTTCTCCGTGAAATATGGAACGTGCAGAAAAGGGGATTTTGGGATCACTGTCGTGTGAACAGGAAGCACGTGTACGTGTATGTGTATGTGTACGTGTACGTGTACGTGTGTGTGTGTTTGTGTGTGTTGACTCGTGCTCTCTCCGCTCTGCAGGTCTTGGACAGCCTGTTAGCGCAGTACGGATCAGTGGAGAACGTGGAACAAGGTAATGTGTGAACCCTGTGACTCTAACCCGGTGTGTGTGTGTGTGTGTGTGTGTGTCTGCGTGTGGTCTTAATGTTTGCCTGATGGCCCTTAATGATTTCCTGCTTGCCGTATCAGCCTGTGTGTGTGTGTGTGTATGTGTGTGGGTGGGGTGGGGGGGATGATTGAGGGAAGGCCTTCCGTCTGTAGGAGAGTGCTGTCATCCTCAACCTCGGAAGCGGGAGGGTGCGGCAGCCTGCATCCTGGGAGCCCATGTAGGGAGACGGGGGGGATTGAAGTGGGGTGGGGGGGTGGGTGGCCACCTTCCAGAAAAATGTGGCACGTTATTTCTGGGGGTTGGGGGGGTAATTAAAGGGAGAATGCAGATGTCTGAGAAGACACCTCCCTGTGTGCGCGTGAGGTCTGTGTGTGAGGTCTGTCCGTCTGTGACATGCATCATGCTGCTTCACTGTTCTTCGCTGACAGCTGAGTCTCTGATTTTAGTGCTTTCGGCATTATTGCATGTTTTAGGAAAAGTATAGGTAAGAAAATCATTTTAGCTCATCCTTGGATGAAGGGGGGGGGGGGGCTTACCGTGAATGAATGATGCACATCCATCAGCTTCCACCCCCTGTCCCAAGCCACGCAGTGATCTGTGGAAAGCTGTTGTCTGTTCTGTCTGGATTCCCGTAAGTGTGTCCCTCCCCCCCCCCCCCCCACAAGAGTCTGCCTTTTTTGTGGGACTGCCTGTCTGCCCGCCTGCGGTCCCGTCGGAAACCCGCCCGCCGCGTCCCTGAGGGTGGGGGACTGACCCGTGTTCTTCCTGTTCTCTAAACCCTCCTCTCAGTTAACACTGACACGGAGACCGCCGTTGTGAACGTCACCTACTCCACCAGGGACGAGGCCAAGGCGTAAGTCACCCGCCACCTGCTGGCTGCTTGGGACCAGGGACGCCCCCATCTGGGTCCTTCCTGCAGATGTGTTTCTCACATCATGTGACAGATTCACCCGTTCTATTGGTCGAGGTTTTGCATTTGGGTTTTTGTCTGTATGTGTCGCCGTGCGTGTGACCTGCCCTGTGCGTGTGTGTGCGTGTGTGTGTGTGTGTGTGTGTGTGTGTGTGTGTGTGTCATCAGGGCTATCGAGAAGCTGACGGGCCACCAGTTTGAGGACTACTCCTTCCGGGTGTCGTATATCCTGGACGCGGATGCGGTGCCCCCCCCGCCAGCGGCGGCCCCCCGAGGCTCGCGCACACGCAGTGGCGGCCGCTCGTCGCGGGACCAGAATGCCCAGCAGCCGAGCCCGTCGGGCGGATCCGGGGGGGCCCGGCTCAAGCAGCATGACTTTCCACTGCGCATTCTGGTGCCCACGCAGTACGTTGGCGCCATCATTGGCAAGGAGGGCCTCACCATTAAGAACGTCACCAAGCAGACGCAGTCCAAGTGAGTGGGTGTGGCCTCCAGGTCTCGCGTTCCCATTGGCTGGCTCCTTGATAATCCCGCCTCCTGAATGAGTGGGCAGCTCCAGCCATCTCCCCACACACATGTAGTGCAGTGTTGCTTATGGGAATTTTACTTTCACACAAATGTTCTGAGGGCAGAACAAATAATGATTGGCTCAGGGATAACCACTCAGATTGTGGAGGAGGTGGGTCCAAGCAACTAGAGGAGGCAGAACCATTCCGATGTCCCGCCTCCTCTACAATCTGATTGGTTATCTCTCTGAACCAATCATTTTTCGTCCTGCCCTCAAAACTCCCACTAGGTGCGATGATGTGGAGGACTGTCATTAGTCCTTAGGCCATTAGGGACCTCGCTGAACCTCTGGGAGCCGCAGCAATGAAACAGAGCCACCTGTTCTCGGGGCCCTGGGGCCGGCAGTTTTGACTGAGTGTCACCCCCGCCTCCCCACAACAGGGTGGACATCCACCGGAAGGAGAATGCTGGGGCTGCAGAGAAGCCCATTACCATACACTCGACCCCAGAAGGCTGTTCCTCCGCCTGCCAAATGATCCTGGACATCATGCAGAAAGAAGCCAATGAAACCAAGGCGTGAGTGTCGGAGCCCCGCCTCCACCACACACACGGCGCTGCACACGCTCCTGGTCGCTCCTGCTTTCGTGCGCTTAAATATTGTGTCCCTCAACAGAGCTGAAGAGATCCCTCTGAAGATCCTGGCCCACAACAGCCTGGTGGGGAGGCTGATTGGCAAAGAGGGCCGGCATCTGAAGAAGATCGAGCAGGAGACAGGGACCAAAATCACCATCTCCTCGTAAGTGTCCCGGCTGGGCGCCTCTCGCAGAAGCCTGCCTCCGTGTGGCCGCTAGGAGCATTGCGTGCCCCTCCCCAGGTAGTCGTGTACGCTAGGGGTTTGACCGTTATAAGCCCTGTAATGACAGCTTGCATTGCTTCATTAACAGGCAGCTATATTTTATAGTAATGGGTCTTGGAGTATTTAAATTTTCAGCGACATTCAGTCCCTTTTAACTCAACCCCCCCACGCTGGATTAATTTCTCACGCGGTACTATTGCAGCCGGTAGGTCTCGCTCTCATTAGCTGTGTTACTTGTGACACACATGCCATTCGACTGCCCCCTCCGTCAGCCCCCTTGTGTTTACTCGCGCTTCTCCGCGATGTCTGTTTAACGGGACTCCTGTGACTAACGACCTCCCCCCTCTTCCTGCCCCCGCCCCCGTAACGTGATGCTGCTCCATTCCCACAGTGACTCAGTTTTCTGCTAAATTGGGGAGGGGGGGGTGTTTGTTCTTTCAAGGCCCGCGTTTGTTTCCGGTGTCCTGTGAGTCATGTTCCTCGTTTATTTTGAGGCAGCTGGGAATTAGGATGTTCCAGTTGGGGTCCAGTGGGTAGGTGCTGATGGACTCGGAAAGCGGCTCTTTATCTCTGTGAATCTAGTTTTACGCTCATGTTTAGTCATCCATGTTTTTATCAGATGGGACTTAAACATGTACTACATCTGGGTCCCTTTGTGAGCGTGACACCATCCCATGTTCTCACGCTCATAATCAGTTATTCACCTTCTTCGAATGGCCTTCTTCCTCAGGACCATTGGCTCTTGAGGTCCAGTCTTTGCCGCTAATGGACTCCCGCCTCGCAGTTTACAGGATCTGACCATCTACAACCCAGAGCGGACCATTACGGTGAAGGGTGACATAGAGGCGTGCTGCAAGGCCGAGGCGGACATCATGAAGAAGCTGAGGGAGGCCTATGACAACGACATTGCTGCTGTAAACGTACGTCCCGCTTCCATTTCCTGTGGCCCGCGCGCTGCAGTGAACGTTCACGGCGACCTGCTTTGCCGAGTCTGTAACATTCCTCTTCCCACTTTGTATTGCCGTGAAATGCTGTGAATGAGTCGGTAGGAATGTGGTGACTCGTCTCGCCCGGTCCTCCGATAGCCTGCATTCGAGTCCTCATTGCGTTGAATAACCCCACCCCCGAACAACCTGAATCACTCTTCTATGAAGCACCTGTTTCGTAAAGTTGTTTCAGGGAGTGAAGTTAAGGACCTGTCAAATCTGTTGACATTTCAGTCGAGCTAAATTATTTTGGGATGGGGGGATGGGGGGGGTAGAGTGTCTCGTCCTTTTACCTTGGACAGTTAAACGAGCAGATGTCGCCCCCTAGTGGTCGGGATGGGGTGTTACATGATCCCGGAATGACCGTCAAAGACAACGAAAGAGGTTGGATCTGCCCATGTTGTGAAGTCAACAGTGATGGGTAGGCAGGCCTCCATAGATAAGTGGCTCTTCTCCTTCCGCCGCAGCAACAAGCCAGCCTGATCCCCGGGCTCAACCTGAACGCCTTGGGCATCTTCTCCTCAGGCCTGTCGGTGCTCCCGTCGGCGGCCAGCCCTCGTGGAGCGGCGCCGCTGCCCCCTACTGGCTACAGCCCCTTTTTAGTGAGTACCGTCTGCATGCTGCAGGTGGCTGCGCCATAGGGCCCCTGCACCTGGACTGGGTGCACTTCACACTTTGTTCTTTACCTACTTGCTGCCCCCCCCCCTTGCTGGAAAGCTGAGCTGTGATTCGCCGGGAGGCTGGCCGGTCTCCCACCTGACCATGTGCTCTCTGTGCCTGCAGAGTCACTCGTCACACCTGGGTGGTCTATATGGGGTCCCTCCTGGCAGCACCATATCCCACCAGCACTTAGTAAGTTTAAGCGCGGTCAGGGCCGGCCAGGTTCATACACCTCCCAAGCGACTTCTAAGCAATCCCCTCAGCAGCCCTTTTTATTATAAGTTTGTTTTTTTCACTTTTAATAAATAGGTTCAGCAACACAAGCCAAAAATGGACTTCTTTGTCCCAGGTTTACCTACATGTTCATATTTATGAACATCTTCCCAGTGATTGGCCCATATTAGTCATGTGCCTGCGACAGTCTGCCTTGATTGGTTGACCTCTGCCCTTGTGACCCTTGACCAACTGCCCCTTCTCCCCACAGGCTCCTGAACAGGAGGTGGTCTACCTCTTTATTCCAACTCAGGCCGTCGGCGCACTCATCGGCAAGAAAGGCCAGCACATCAAGCAGCTGGCGCGCTTTGCCGGTGCCTCCATCAAGGTGAACAGCCCCCGCCGGCCCCTCTGCCCGTTCCTGTCCGGGGGGTGGAGGCCCCTGGCCCTATTGCCAGTTCCGCCGCACAGATGGTGTCTGCGCCTCAGATGGTTCTGGCCAGCCTGCGTCGTTCTGAGGTCTTACATCATCGTTCTGTCGGGGACTTTCTGTGCTGATGCCATTACGGATGTTTAGCCGTGAGCGTGGTGTTGGAACTGGGCGCCCCGTGGCCTCGCGGTGGCACCTGCTCATGCCACTCTGGTTCAAGGAATCAATTTACCCCCCTCTCAGCTGAATTGTGCTCCGTGGCTCATGGGTAGTTTCCAGACCGTCCAGTGGCGTGACCAACGCTGAGTCACAAGGACATCTGTGACCGTAGTCTAGGGCCGTCATCGACTCACAGTCAGCCATTTCAACGGGAGCCTCGTGAACCTTCTCTGTTGACAAGTGACTAAGAGTCCAGGAATCCAGTTGGCATCCCCATCACCAAACTGTCCCTTCGAGGCCCGGGGGGCGGGTTTGCAGTATGGTAGCCTGTCAGCGCATCCACGGCCCATGATCAGACTTTGGTTGATGTCGTGGATCTCTCCTTCCAGATTGCGCCAGCAGAGAGTCCTGATGTCACGGAGCGAATGGTCATCATAACTGGGCCGCCTGAAGCTCAGTTCAAGGTGAAGCCCGTCCCTCTCGCCTCAGCGTTTGCATGTTTCCAGACTCAGGGTGTCTTGGCGGACTGTCAGGGTGTCCTGATCTTGTTTTTTGATTTCTTCATCCGCAGGCTCAAGGTAGGATATTCGGGAAACTGAAGGAGGAAAACTTCTTCACGGCGAAAGAAGAGGTCAAACTGGAGACTCATATTAAGGTTCCCTCATCCGCTGCAGGACGGGTCATCGGCAAGGGTGGCAAAACGGTGTGTTAGAAAGACCCAGTACGGCCACAGGGCCCGCTGGGGCGCCGGCCTCTCTGTCCAGTATGTGCCGGCAGCCTTTTGAGTGCTCTCTGTCGCCCCTTACAGGTCAACGAGCTACAGAATCTCACGAGCGCCGAGGTCATAGTGCCACGGGACCAAACTCCTGATGAGAACGATGAGGTCTTCGTGAAAATTATTGGGCACTTCTTTGCCAGCCAGGTATGCCGCACTCAGCCTCGACGATCAGATCTGACCTTGTCAGTCCGCTTTTATCGGATCTCAAGTTGTAAATGATGGTGACAAGCTAGTAGTGTAGCTTAGCTCACCTGATACTCAAGTGTCCAATAGATGCAAAGCCAGAGGAAGACCTGGTTACAGAAAGTCTGCAATCTCTCCTGTTTTTGCTTTCATCTCCCATGACAACACAGACACATTTCACATTTAAAAATGCCCTCTGGTCGTAGAAACATCAGACATTTGCTGTGTAAAATGTGACAAGATTACTGCTTACTTCTGAAGCTCAGGATGCTATGGAGTAGACCCAAGCCTGCCTCTGCTTTTGTTTTTGTTGTTGTTTTGGGGCTGTCTGACTTATCATGCTAGTGAACGGATTATGTGACTCCATACGCCAAATCTCTCATCTCAGCAGGATCCCATTGCCAACATTTTGTGCATTTTGGGAGAGTTCACATACGAGCACGTTTTATTTGATTATGGTTAGATGCGTGCATGTAGATGGTTTGTACTGCCTCATCGGGTTCTGCTCTTCTGCGGAAAACAGGAACAGTGATCATCTGTTGATAATGTTTTCAGTCAGAATGTCTATTCTGATGTTGGCTGGAAGATACTGTCGAGCTTCGCTCATGGGGGTGTGATACAGGTGTTTTTTTATGTCTGAATCTATTTATGACAGGTCTTGGTGCAGGTATGGTGATGACAAAGAAAATATGTATTTTTGTTTGTATAACTGCATATCAGAATCAGAATATTTTTATTATCTTGGTGGAAATTGATTAAGAATAACACCAGTGGCCTGTACTACAAAGCGGGGTTACTGGCTTATCAGGGTAAGTTGTCAGATTTAAGGTAGTCTGGGCAAAATGTAAGTGAACGAATATGAAGTCCATTTAAACCGTGGTACCTTAAATCCGACAAGTTACCCCGATAAGCCAGTAACCCCGCTTCGTAGTACAGGCCACAGGACCCCACAATCCTAAACATATACACATTTCTGTCCTCTTCAAAGACATTTCAGAAGTGAGTTGCTAAAATTATTATGAGTTTTTTAATTATCATAGTGATTCATCATTACTCTATTACCGTGTATAATATACAGCTCTGGATTTTTTTTTTTAATCTGCATGTTTAAATCCTGGTTTAATTCTGGTTCTGCTGGCAGAAGGCTACACTGAGCAGCAGTTTGCTACCTCTTGGTGTCTTAATTTTTTCCAGAGCTGTATATTTGAAATGATGTGGTGACTGAACAGGATTTTAATAGTATTTATCAGCATGAATTTTTCCAGCATAGGTGTCAGGAGAACCTTAGATGTTCTTAAATGAAGTCTTCTGCAAAAATCCATTCTTAAGTAATTAGAGTAGTTATTCCAGTCAAAGGGAAAATTGTGGTGCTACTTAATGGAGTGGTTGGGGACTTGGCTATCCCTCTGCGAGTTCCTGGTCTCACACCCTTGCCTCTCGTCCCCAGACTGCACAGCGAAAGATCAGGGAGATTATACAGCAGGTGAAACAACAGGAGCAAAAGCACCAGCAGGGAGCGCCCACACCGAACCCCTCCAAGTGACCACCAGGGCGGCGCCAGCGAGCATCAGCCAACGAATGTAGCCCTTCCAACCTGAGAGAGACAGAGGAGGCGAGGCAGATGGGGACGGATGAGGCAGACCAGCAGCATGGGGAACCAAACCAAAGAACTTCACTGGGGGAAATGTAACCCAAAGCAAATCCAGCACAGAGCGGAGCGGATACTAGGATACTATGACGAACATGTTAAACTGAATATTGCATTTCTAAAACACATAGGGAAGAGAGAGGTTTTTAATTTTTTTTATGGCAGAGTCAAGGGCACCATCAGTCTTTCTGGTTAAATATGAAAAAAATAGTTGCCCTGTAGTAACGGCATCCCTGTAGTTGGACTAACATACAGTAAACCTAGCGAAGAAGCGGTATTAATGAACACGTACATTGACATGTAGTGGCCGAGGCTGTCGTTTTGTGGCACGGGCGGAGTTGGGTCGTGGTTAAGGAGCACATTTCTGCAGTTTCGGCATTGAGATCGCAAGTGTCCGTATCCTTAGCAGTATTACTAGTGTATTAGTCACAATAAAATGTGAGCTATGAGGATAACAGGAGTTACCTTTGAGTAGCTGGAGTTCGGCTGTGTAGACTCGACGTGCAGCTTGTTTGCGTGAACGGGGGCACTCGATGGGCTGTCCGTCTGTCGGAGGAGGAAGAGGAGGAAGAACGAAATCGACTAGCAGGTGAAGCGGGACGTCACAGCGGGTCGTCCGGAGTATGTGACTCAGCCTGCGTGTGCGTGTCCGTGCGCGTGTCTGTGCGCGTGTGCGTGTGCGTGTGTGTGTGTGCACGTGTGTGCCAACACAGGGGACAGCATCCCTAACAAACACTCAAACCAGTGCATGGACGCTGTGCCCCAGTCACCCTGCTTGCTCCTTTAGTGTCGCTGTTTTGTTCTCAGACAAGCTTAATGATTTCAAAAGCAATCAGTTCGACTAATTCCGTGAGAATTATTAGAATTTCAAAAAGATCTTTTAAAAAATTAGACGGTACCAGTCACACATATATATGTATATGTATGTACGTATATATAATATGTAATGTTATGCTTGTATGTGTGTATATACACACACACACACACATATTTATATATATATGTATGTATATATGTACGTATATATCATTATATTTGTTGTCCAGTGAAAGCAGTTTGTTGGAAGTAGATTCCAGACTGGCTCCCTGAAGGGGACGGAATGTAATCGTACCGACCCCCTCACCCCTGAAAGTTATACATTTCAATTTGTTCGCTGAACCTTTGTCTCAAAAGATAGTCCTGAACTGATTGTGCCACATCTTCTACCCTTACTGCCTTTGCTGC